TTGTAAAAGAATTACGTTATTTATTTCAAATACCTTACTTTAATTATATACAGCTACTCTGCTCACATGAAACGACTGTCAGGTTTCCTAGTTCCTCTGAAAGGCCCGCCCTCAAGAGGCTCTGATTTGTCAACTAAAATAATGTGCTGTGATTTGCAGATCAGCTCCACGTCACCAGGAAGTGCTACACTTCTACTAACACAGACTTTGCCTCTGTTGTGTACTGTCAGTCAGAGTAGCTGTTAAGGTTGGTTTTTACTTCTGCGTCGAATGATCGGTGTGACCCATGGAAACTGCCTTGCATAGCTGTGCATTTATACTTCTGCGTGCTGTTTGTTTTGCTCTACAATAACACTTCCGAAATGTTAGCTGGCAGTAGGTTTAAATGTTCCTCTGTGTCAAGTTTCTTCGCGGGTGTTTTTTTTTTTTAACATTAGCTATTTTTCCAGCCAAATATGCGAATGACCTTTATGTGCAAAATTGGATTATCACATAAAAGATGTGCAAAGCGAACAAAATCGTCACATCCTGATTAACTAGCGCCAAATATCAACAGTAAAAACACAATTTGCTGTGGTAGGAGAGGCTGTGTCAATCTTTTCTTCATTTAATAAATTACTTGCATTTCTGACACGCCCGTTGAAATACTCGGTTATGCGCATACGTTTTTTTATGCGCATTTTCAATATTTATGCGCATCATGGCGTTTCCATCAACCGTTTTTTTATGTGCAAATGCAAAATGCGCATAAAAATAGGTGGATGGAAACATAGCTAGTGTAGTTACATTTTTTGAGAGGTGTGCATCAGCATCTGCGTCAGCCATGGCGAGGGCTATGCAATGTTCCGGAGCATACACGTGTGCGGGACGCAAAAAAATATAAATCAGTTTTAGCCGTCTCAGTTTGAGCCTTTATCAGAGAGAAACAACAGCTGAAATTTATGGCTGCAGTACTCAGTCTACTACAGTCTTTCATATTTATATATATATATATATATATATATATATATATATTCAGGTTATAACCATGTGTAAGTTATATGAAACATTCATATATCTTTTGCGAGTTTGTTATTTGAGATGTAACGCAGGGACAGTGGCTGCATAGAGAGAAACTGCATGCTGTTTACAGGATAAATATGAATTTGTAGCTAAATTGTTAACAGCGCCAAACAGCATTTCCCATTTTTTTAGATCCTTGTTTACATCCTCGCAACAACATACCAATAAACTATGCATGTAAAAGATCAATTTTAACAAATAAAAATACAAGTTGTGGCTCACAATCCACAGCTTTTTCTAATATGGTTGAAGCTGCTCCTCCTTAGAGGAGTTTTTAGCTGAATACAGCACTGAACAGGGAGAGGTTCTGGAAGCTGTCCTTTTTTAAATTCTAGCTATATCTTTTTTTATAATTCTCTGAAACATAATTAAAAATTGTAAGCACTTCTCTCTTTGTGTCTGTCCTTTGGAAGTCCAAATACAGAAACAGAACAAGATCTGTGGAAATAGCAGCACTTGGACGGCATTTCACCTTTCTCTGCTAACAATGCAGCACCTCTGGCCAATCTCCTTTTCTAGGCATATGCATGAAACCTGAATGGTTTATCATCTCATTTACCCAGATGTATTTTTTGTAGTCTCCAAGCTTTGTTCGCTGTAGGCTTTGCTAAGCTAACTCTAAAAGCCAATGTCAGCCTTTACATTGAACTGTTTTTGCTCTTTTCAGCTATTTAAATTAGATTTAAAACACATTTGATTAATTTTAGCATATTTATGTTTTCTTTTTAAACATATTAAGGAGAACTAGCTAATTAAATTTCTTTGTGTTAGACTGTGCAGAAATTTTGGTCTGCACTTAATACCCATAATGCCTTTCTGTAGCTCAAACAATAAAGCTTGACACCCGATTTCTAGGCAAAGCAAGAAATAAATATAGTCTTTTAGAGCATTGTTGTTGTTTTTTTTAACCTAAAATAGCCTCTTTCACATACTAACAATGTTTAATTGTTGCAAAATTACCAAAACAAGTTTACCGGTAAATTCTACAATATACTGTTCATGCACAGCAGTTCTACAATTTAATGGTAATGTTACGACTTGTCATTCTGGAAAATTGCCAAATAATCAAAATTCACTTCAATTAGCTGGTCATTTTGTGCAAAGATCTGTATGTGTGAAAGGGGCTATTGACAGTTGGTCAGCATAAGCAATACAATCGAATAAATACATTTTAGAATTCTGGAATTAGAATTTTAGAATTCTAGAATAAGAATTCTCAACATTTCGTATATTAACAGTTATTTGGTTTTCAGAAATGTGTATGTAGCTCCTCTTGGTTAAAACTGACCTGAGTGTATTATGAGGATTACATTTTTTTTGACAGAACTATGTTATATACTCTGATTGATTGTTAATAATGTGCTCTGGAAAAATAAGTGTCAGTGTGTTTTGGTACTGCTTACTCCACTAATATTGAAACCATAAACCCTTAAATCAGTTCTGATGGAAACATTCCCCACTGTGCCTTTTATTAATATAATCTCTTGGCTCTCAGCCCAGAGGAGTGGATGTAGAGATTCACTCTCGTGTTATTTAGAGCAAAGTCTCTTCTTTGAAGTCACTCCTTCATGATCTTGTGAACTGTTTGTTGGCCTTTAACTTGACGTGATCATATTGGTTAACAGAAGGTCAAAAGTCTTACTTGCCACTTAACAACATATAGTTCTTTAACTGCAAGGACACTCACCCTAGAGCAAGGGCACATAGTCGATCGAGCAGGATCATGTGATTTCCTAGATTACTGTTACTTAGTATTGAACTTCAAATCTTTGTGCTAGCATCCAACTCCTTAATCATTACACTCCCTTCTAATTATTAGTTTGCTCTTAGAAGTCCAGATTGTGTTTCCATAAGCATATGAATAAACCTTGCACTTGCTTTGCTGTCCTAATAGGAGTGTTATGTTTTTCAAAATTGAAATATAAACTTTTTAATGAAACTTGTGATGTTTAAATAATATATATATATATATATATATATATATATATATATATATATATATATAATGTTAGAAATATAAATATAAATTTTAACTTGACTTTAAATTTCCATTTAATATTCTGTTTGTAATTATTTATTTTTTAATCTGTTAGGATATATATGAAATACATCCAAGTGGTTCTTTTCGCAGAAAAATGGAAGACGTGGAGTGTAGGGTTTTTGTATTAGACAAAAGGGTTTTGTTCTAGGAAAACAACCACTAAGATGTACTTTGTTATGAAACATTGTTCTGAGATGTAATAGTTTATTAATTCTTTAAATATAGACAAAGCTAAAAGAAACAAAAACAGCTGAATGGAGCATACACAAACCTACCTTTTATTTAGTAACAAGATGGCTCCAAACTGTGAAAAACGATGATGCTGTGAAAGTACGAATGTGAATGTGACGTCTAATAAGACATGCTTGTTTTATTAGATTCAGTGTTTGTTATCTGAGAATAACTTACCTTAGAATATAGCAACTGACCAATCAGAATCAAGTATTCCGGTCAGCCAGTGTAATAAAGTGTATTAAAGGGCTATGAAACCCCCCTGTCTCTGCAGGGTGTTTTCACAACCCTAGTTTGAAAAAAGTCTGGAAAGTGTTGGAGTCCAGCTTTTTTTTTAGGTGGGAGTGTCAGGGGAGGGAAAGAGGGAAGGGTTTGCATAAAAATGGGAGTTTTCTGTTCGAGCATGCACCGATTTTCATAGAGGCAAAACAACACACACAGATGCAGGGGAGAAAGACAGTGACTGAGGGCCTACTCACTCTATGCTATACAAACTGTGCCCAGGCCCATTTCACGGCTTATTTGAGAAGTTTGAGTGCGCTGAATTAGGCTCAGGTTCACTTGGGCTTTGGCGCGGTACGCTTGTGTGTGAGTGCAAAACGCGCCTAAGCCCAAAACTGAAAGCAAGACATGACTTTTAAGGGGCTGTTTCATATGGATTTATTAATCATTCTTACTGTTCAATGAACGCAAACTGTCATAAGCGTTCCCAGGCATGCCCAAGCGTGCCCAGGCCTAAATGTAATGTATGTGCGGGCTGTCTGGGAAGACTTTGGCCCGGTTCAAGGCAACTGTACATAGTGCGAGTACACCCAATGTTTACATGGATATAAGTAATCAAATTAATTGCCAAATTCTTAATTTCTCAACTTTAACTGCAGTGTGGCACGTGCAGTGTGGTGCTGATTGCTGGTCTGGAAAGACTTGGAAGTCTTTCTAATGAATTAATGCTGAAATTTCAAAGACATCACATTGTACCCGCCGGTACAGACATCCAGTCTACATGCTGGAATTCACGCAAGGATCTAATTGCCGTGACATAGCTTCAAAATTTATGGAAGAATGAATCCGCTCGAAAAAACGCAAAAACAACCAATTTTCACTTTTTTGTGAAATATTTGTGTCCAAGAGGTCAGGACTCTGTACAGGCCAGTCAAATTTCTCCACATCAAACTTATTCAAGTCTTCAATATAGTAATGTTCCTCTGGCAACCACCAAACTCAGAATCGACCATCAGATAGCCAGACAGCAAATTCGTCACTATAGAAAACACGTGTCCACTGCTCTAGAGTCCACTGGCAGAGTGTGTTATACCATTGCATTTGGTGATGTAAGGCTTGGATGCAGCTGCTCAGCCATGGAAACCCAATCTATGAAGCTCTCTACTTACTGTGCTTGAGATTGAATTCTTGGATTCACTTAACTTCTGATAGTAACCCATTTTTTTCCACAAATATTTGTAGAAGCAGTCTGTATGCCTAGAAGCTTGATTTTAGACATGTAAATATGAAAGTATGGAACACCTGAATTAAATGAGCGGTTTGCCAAAACTTTTGCTAATACAGTGCACGTTCATATATGCTCAATGTGTGGAAAATTCATTAAATCTTGAAAACTAAGTCTAAAGTGAACATCTTTCATTTAGAAAGTTTTATTTTTTTACAGCATTGACAGGAAAGATCCTTAAATCAATCATAGAAAATGGGTTCGAGATATCTGCCCTACAAATGGTAAGTATTTTAGTTAGGTTTGTATTATATTTCTTTTTTAGCCAGTGTTGCCTATAAGAATTAAACTGTACGTTACAGCTAATTCCCTGTTTTTGTATGTGCTTGTTTCTAACATGTACATTAGCTGTATGTTCCAGTTATTCATTTTAGTTAACTTCCTAAATGAAACATATACCCATTTTATGGTTATTAGACCAGCTTAAAAAAAAATCAAAGTCCGTCTATGAACCAAGGGCAAACACAATTATGTTTTCCCTTTGGTGTAAACTGACCCCATCATCGACCATGCAATCTGTGACCAGATCAGTGGCCTCCCACATCTCCAAATGAGTTCTCTGCTGGCCAATTACAGGGCTTTATCTCTGTCACATGACACTGCTGAAAATAGTGTTCAGAGGATGCCCCTGGGCTAGAGCAGATCAATGAAGGTTTTGTTACTATTAGAAAGCTTGTGTGGTTAGGGCTTTATAAAAAGAAAGTCAGACCGTTATAATGGTGTGTTAGAATGGTGGGTCTGGAGATTTTTATTTCGAGTGTGTTGGACAGCTCTTTCAAATGCTCCATTTTTAAGTCAGAAATACAAAATCATTAATTTATTCATATTGAATGTGAAACCGTTTTGCTTTCCTGAATGATGGGAGTCTTGTCAATTAATAAACGTCCTACTGTAAATGTCCTTCTGTCTCTTCAATTTAAACTATTTACATATGTGTGTGTGTGTGTGTGTGTGTGTGTGTGTGTGTGTGTGTGTGTGTGTGTGTGTGTGTGTGTGTGTGTGTGTGTGTGTGTGTGTGTGTGTGTGTGTGTGTGTGTATTCAAGTCACAATGTCTTTTGTTTGTGTGTTATTTTGCCTTTTGAATTTTGACTTGGTTTTCCATTATTCTACAGTTCAACATGGATCGAGCAAATGCTGAGGAGTTTTTAGAGGTTTATAAAGGGGTTGTTGCCGAGTACACTGTAAGTATATGTTGATTTCTGTAAATATATCTGCCCAGGGTGAACCTGGTGCCATGCCAAAGTTTCAGTCATCACTCAAAGTGATCAATATGCTTCTTTCCTGTTATATGTTTGGCAACATGTATTGAAACCCTAATGCATATGCTAATTTATAGACATTTTCAGTTATACTTTTGTGTTTCTGTTCTGATTTAAAAGGCCTATGCTTCATTAGGTGAGAGAGAGAGAGGGGATATTGCCTTTACTCTTTCTATTTACTCCATTTTTAAAGGAAAACTCATCTACTGATCTGTAGAATTACTAAAGTTGAGTCACTGTGAGTTGGCTTTTGACCTTTTGTTCCATTACAGTTGATCAGATAAGAGAGACAAGATTGTTATATATGTAGCACAAGATATAAATCTGTACTAGTGTTACACTTTCTGCAGTCAGTTACAGTATAACTGAACCCATCTGCCACGATGGTTAAGTAAAGCTGTGGTTAAGTGAAGTGTCAATTTTTTTTGTAAATAAGCACAAACCAGAATCCAATAATTAGTTCAAATAATCTATTTTGACATATGTTATTTGTTCAGTCATTGTAACAGGCTGTTGTAAAATGTTGTAAAAAAATCATATTATTTGTTCATGCTTTTCGATACCAGATTAGCATTAGTAACACATTAAGTTTCCTTGGGTACGGGACCCCTTGAAGTAGCCCCCCGCCATGCATAAAACTTTAGTTCTGCCACTGGTAGGGACACTATTGATCTTACATTTACATACCAAACCACTTAACCTGCGCATAACCTTAACCGTATTCTCACGTCAGTAGCAGCAAAAGTGTTTTGCTACTTATCCTGTATTATATGAACACAGTAAGTATACTATACCTAATATTGAAGTTGAGTAAACAGTAGTTAATGACTACTATAGCTACTTTATCACATGCAGTATAATTAATTCAATCTAAAACTTCCCTTTTAAACTTAGGCCATTTAAGTGCTTGTTCAGAGCCAGAGCTTAGTTACAAATAGTTTTAGAGTTTATCGACACCCAAAGCACTAGCTCTGATCTAGAAAAAATGCTTTTTAAGTAGCAACACAACATTGCTGGGCTAGAAGTAAGAGCTGCTGGTGTCAGGGGTTGTAAAGCCCCTGGGGTTAACCTAACCAACAAGATGACCAGAAACCGTTTTGACCACCATTTTTGAAATAGCAGCATAACACAATCCCAAACATGTTATTCTTGCTTGTAATCTCTGTCTATACAATTTATGGGGACCTCTAAGAACAAGTTATTCTTGCTTGTAATCTTTGTCTATACAAACTGCGTTGGGCTGCACAAACAAGTTATTCTTGCTTGTAATCAACATACAGTATATATAAATTACGACTAGCTATGCGAACATGTAATGTAATGTGTTTTTATATAGCGCATTTATTGTGTATGGTCATACACACAAAGTACTCCACAATCATGAGGGGGGTCTCTCCACACCCCCACCAGTGTGCAGCATCCACTTGGATGATGTGACTGCAGCCACAGGACAACAGCGCCAGTGTGCTCACCACACACCAGCTGTGGATTGAGTAGAGAGAGATTGATAGAGCCAATTCTGTGGATGGGGATGATTGGGAGGCCATGATGGGAAAGGGCCTATGGAGGGAGTTTGGCCAGGACACCAGGGTTACACCCCTACTCTTTACAAGAAGTGCCATGGTATTTTTAATGACCACAGAGAGTCAGGACCTCGCTTTAACATCTCATCTGAAAGACGCTGCTCACTGAGAGTATAGTGTCCCGTTCACTGTAATGGGGCATTAGGACTCACACAGACCGCAGATTAAGCGCCCCCTGCAAGCCTCAATAACACCACTTCCAACCTAGTTTTTCCATGTGGTCTTTCATCCAGATACTCACCAGTCTCAGCCTTTCTTATCTTCAGTAAATAACCGGTCTTGGGTTGCTGGGTGCAGAATTACTGCCTGATGTTTGTGAAAAACAGAAATACCTTGATGCACAAGGTGGCACTGCCAACTTTTGACACTTCCCTGTTGCACAGAAGAAGTAGTCAACCACATGCTTTTTTATTTATCACAAACTTTTCAGGTCAAAAGTTTGCAGGAAAAAGTTACAAGCCATTAAAGAATATTAAGTGAAATTACACTCGCCAACAAATTTTAATTTGCAGTATTCATGTGAACGGCTTAACCATTTTGTGCTTGAGTACCACCAAGTCCTGTTTTAGCTCCAGTCACATGGACAAAAGCACCAATCTCATTGGTCCACCAGTTTTTAATGCTGCACGTCAAACTAAAAAAAATAAACAAAAAATAATAATAACCAGATGCCTTATTTATTTAATTACACTTTTAAGACTGGTATTTTTGTGTGTTGGTGTGCACTTTTACATTGGTGCCCTTTGTTCAGTCATGAAGCATTAAACATTAGCAATAAGCCATGAGTGCAGTTAAAGGAGTTCATTTCTACTTTATTTTTAAGCTCAGACTGTATTTGTCTATTAGTCTTTAAGAGAGGAAGGGGAACTTGCTGAAACATTGATTATTTACTTTCTTGCAACTGCATGCACACCTCTCTCTTTCATACCCCTCTATGGGCTGAGAATACAAAAATATACAATTGTTGCCTCATAGCAATTTCCCTGTTTTGGGTACAGAGTAACCTCACAGTATGTGAAAATTCAGTTCATGGGAGCAATCTTCATGTTCCTGTTTGGTATTTTTATTTAATAAAATGGTCATTTATTCTGATAACGTCCAAGCAAGTCTTTAGAGCAAAACATAAGCCATTTTTGTGGTTCCGGGTCATTGAAGCCCAAGGCTATTTTGGAGTACAGGACCTTGTCTGTTGCCATGAAAACTCTCATCAACATATTGATTGCCTCACATTTGCCGAAACACAGACTGCTTGCTGCAGGTGCAAAGTGCCCATGAAACATTTGCACTGTGTGTTCCACCATTCTGAGATATATCAGTGCAGTTAGTAAAATAGCTGAATTCTCTTACTCTGACTGCTGGAACAAAGTGCACTAGTGCCAAATCTTATCGTTTACTGCATACAGCAACTCACAATTCTTCCTTTTTTCTGCTTCAATTACACTCAAGTTATACATATTAGGTTATGCAAAGCTTCAGTTAAGTATAATGTAGTGAACAGTGATACTGCTTAAGATATTTAGTACCATATTGCCATGTCATCACTTAATGACTTGTCCTTATGTTCCATAATATATCATGTATCCTTTGGTTGGAATTTTATAGTAACCTAAAATATGATCTCTATGACCTTGCCTTGAATACAAATAAATACAACTAATTGTACAGTTGAAGTCAGAATTATTAGCCGCCTTTTGAATTTCTTTTTCTTTTTTAAATATTTCCCAAATTATGTTTAACAGAGCAAGGAAATTTTCACAGTATGTCTGATAATATTTTTTTCTTCTGGAGAAAGTCTTATTTGTTTTATTTCGGCTAGAATAAAAACAGTTTTATTAAAAAAAAAAAAAACATTTTAACGTCAACATTATTAGCCCCTTCAAGCTATGTATTGTTTTCAATCGCCTACAGAACAAGCCATCATTATACAATAACTTACCTAATTACCATATCCTGCCTAATTAACCTAGTTAAGCCTTTAAATGTTACTTTAAGCTGTATAGAAGTGTCTTAAAATATATAGTCAAATGTTATTTACTGTCTTTGTGGCAAAGATAAAATAAATCAGTTATTAGAAATGAGTTAATAAAACTATTATGTTTCGAAATGTATTGCAAAAAATCGTTTCTCCATTAAACAGAAATGGGGGGAAAATAAACAGGGGGCTAATAATTCAGAGGGGCTAATAATTCTGACTTCAACTGCATATTTCTTAATTATTGTATTATATTATTGCCATATCTTTGCTGTGCTCATACTAGGTTGCAGAGGTTGCAGTAATATAGACAAGGGTAATAAAATATAGATTTCTTGTGAATGAGAAGGTGCTTTGATGCTTCGCTATCTTCAGCGTTTAACGATAACCTACAATCTGAAAAATAAAGCTTTTTATTATTTTGCATCTGTGGCTTCAGGAGTCTCTCCATTGCACAAATTATATTGAGCTTAAGAACTGTTTGCTAAAATGTTTTCCAAAAATCCCAAAGATGTTCTTCTTGGAAGTTTTATTATTAGGAGTACAAAGCAGTTACTCTTGCATTTTTACGATGATATAGTTGAAGGAATTTATAGCTTTTACAATTGTCGTTTTAATTTAATTGTTGTTTGCTGATCTCATAAACGTTTGATTTTTAAAAAAAAAAAGTGTATGTGTACAATCACAAAAAGTTGCTTGTACATTGTTTATAGGTTTAACTGAAATTTTTAATGTGAATATGAAAAAAGGAAACCATTTAGTGGCATTTTAGTGGACCCCTTCATTCAAAAGCCACTGCATCAAACCAGATTAACAGAGAATGGGAACTCATCTAGTTGCTAATAACCTGTTCCAAGAACAATAGCAACAATTGTTTGCTTTGACATCCTTTAATTTATATATTTATTAAGAGGCACACTGGTAACTTGAGTCCTCCAGCTGCTCCAATGTCTTCCCAAGGTCTGTTCAGATAATAAGCTCTTTCATTAGTACAGGCACCACAGGTAGACCCAGGGGAATTGTTAACTCTTGAATGCTTGTGTTGCAGAAAATGGTGGACGAACTTTGCTCTGGACCTTGCATGGCCCTGGAAATACATGCCACAGATGCACCAAGAACCTTTCGAGAGTTTTGCGGACCAGCAGATCCTGTGAGTGACAACACAGTTCACTTTCACACAATGCTATCATGTGTATTTTATCCACAAGCACAGCATTAATAGTTGAACTCTCTACTTTTAGTCATCTTTTAGTTCACTTGAAGGTCATATGAAGGTTTTCTGAAAATTACAAGAGGTACTTCAGTCTCGTGGACTTTTTTTTTTTGCTTTGTGTAATCTGTAGTGCTCCTGAAGGAGTATCATTTGCACCCTAAAGCTAAAAACCTGCTTTGTGTCTGCATCTGCCAGTCGAAATGTACACCGCATGAAGGTTTCGTCTTATATGAAAGATTAGTCTTTCCACTCGTGTTGCACGATGCCTGTTTCCACTCTTGGTGGCCACCGTTCTGCCAACAGAGATCGCTTGTAAACTGCAGGTACCAGCTATGATGTACAATAAGATAAGAGTTACAATCTCTGCACTTTCAAGTCTTTGGGTTAAGGTTTATACGCTTTATGCACAGTACTAAAAGGTTTGATAATAATGTGGACTTTGTCGTTTTCAGTGTAGTTTATTGTTGATTTGGTTTCCTGTGAATGAGTGAACTGGTTTTGGTGCGGACAGTTTAGATTTCAGAGTTTCAGTTAATGAACCAGTTAAATCAAAATTTAAGTATTGTGACTGCGATGAAATGATCTCCTATAACAATATTTTTTTATAAAGTTTAATAATAAATTAATTATTATTAAATTGCACATTCAAATTAAAAACCTTTGGATATATAAAAAGGAAATTGTCCTACCTTTGATACGCAAATCACTGTGACATGATATTTGTGACGTGCATTGTGACAGAGTTTGTGACATGAAGCAAAGGCTAGCAATTCTGTTTGGGCCATAATCACAAATTGCTGTTTCAGTATGCAATATAGTAACTCTTATCAGAAGTGAGCACACTGATTTGGGATGATAATAAAAATAATACTTTTTAGCAGCTATAATCAGAAAAAAACTTAGATTGCTGTGTAATTTTATGAATATATTTTTTTTTACTTTTTCAATTGCTCCTATTGATGGTTATCGATTTCAATTACATTTTTGTACAAATTAAATCATACAAATTCATATTAAATTATCTTCCTCGCCAAATCTTTTTAGTTTTTAGCCTGCTGAAAAGTCAGTGCTCTTTTGACACTTATTTTACGTGCTTCTATGCTTTTCTTCAGTTAACTGTAAATTAAAAGTAAAATGTTTTTTATGTTATTGTACAGTTTGTAAAAAAAATACTTGATTACATTGGATGATATGAATATGGACATGTGGGCGAAATTAAATAAAATTCGCCTAAATTATTCACAGGTAATGCCTTAAACAAGCAAATTCTTGCATGCTAGATATTTGTTTTTGACAAAAACGGTGTTGATATGCTAACATGGCTTAAATGTTTTGACCTTTGCAAGGTCAGACAGGATTGCTCAATTAGAGGTTCCGGAAAGAACTCTAGAGTTCTCCACTGATAGCACACTGCACAGAGGGGAGCAGAAAGAGAGGGGGAGCGTGAGAGTGTATGGATGGTTTACAAACACTCTTGCAGGCTGTATATCAGCATTATTGTCCTCTGCCTCCCCAAGTGTTCTGCATTTGACTTATTCTCCTACCTTCCCTCCTCCTTTTGTGGTGGATTTGTGGCTGCATGTCTGTGGTTTATAAACACTGTCAGTATGATGTGTAAAACATAGTTATTATGCATGATTTGGGGAGAAAGACTGGTGTGGATAGTGTACCACTGTTCTTGCTTTGCAAAAATAAATAGGTTATCATCCAATCCTCCTTATTTACTAAATGAAACCAAAATGAGCACACATACAATATACCATGTGCTGAGTGAGATCGGATTTTGTTTGATTTTATTGTTTCAATTGTTTACATTTTTTAGATACTGTTGTAGCATTTATTGTTTTACAAGTAGAGCTTTTGTTGCTTTATTCACATGTTTATTTACATAGCTGATGTTTTAAAATGCTTAAAGTTATGCATAATATAAGGTTTCTATTGTGGTTTGGGGGGTCCCCAACAACAGGTTGATATGCATACTACGTTAAAAAAGTACTATCATTGCCTACTAATATGCATTTATTCATACCTATCCAACTATCACAACAATATGGTTTGTTCAGCAACATTTGCGTGTCTTTGGGTGCTGCTAATCTGAGGTGATTGGTCTGATGATGCAGACTGCTGTGATTAATTGACTGCATGCAGCGCAAGTCAGAAATGGAACGCCCATTAAAGCTTTTCAATTTTTAAGCAAGCAGCCTGGGTATGTGTGTGAGTACAACGCTGGAACTTATTGATAGGCACTGTAGTTTGTACAACTGTAGCTTGTACAACTGTAAGTAATAGCAACCATAAGCAATTATTATTAGTCAACACATTTCTGCACAACAATAGAAATGTAACTACTTTGTTAAAGGTGCACTCTGCTGTATGTGCGCTTTGGTCAGTACAGAAAAAAACACTCCCTTGTGTGGGAAAAGTCATTGAAATGAATGATTTTCAAAGCACAGGGCTTTCCGCTTCCAGTGTGAAAGCTGCTTTAAGGCTTTTTTTATTTATGTAAACAGCCATTTGACAGATGTGCATGACCTTCATGCTCATGTCTTTTCAAGCACCGGTTCCACGAGCACTGCATTTTTTTAGACACCGTGTCAAGTTAAAAGAACAACTTTTAAATGGAGCACCACTCTGTGTCCATTCCAAGGCAGCGAACCATTCTAAAGAACTCTGAGGTGGGGTAAGCGGTGCAAGTTTTTGTTAACAGGCACACAGTGGCTGTGTTCAGATACCCTCATGCTCCATGCTGAACTTTAAAAAAAATCATTTCTGAGCACTGCGTTTCACAGTTTTTGATGCAAAGATGCGTTCTGTGTAATTGACATACAAGCTGTGTGAACCAAACACAACGCATACAACTAAATACATATTTTGCTAGATACAGAGAACAAGAAGGCAACCATTTTAATCACGCTTACAGGTTGTAATTGAGTGGAAGAAGAATATATTGTGATATTGTTATGAAAATTGACTTTATACTGATACCTCACAGCTTCGTCTTCAGGCAGTTAAAAAAAGATTTACAGTACAAAAAGTACAGAATCTTCACTATCTCATGCAATCCGATCCCCTGGAATCCACCACAGTGTTTGAGTGAGGGGGCCTCAAGTTTTCTTGGGTCTGCACGCACAACACGTGGGCGGGCAATGTTAAGATGTCACCATGAAGTGGCTCAAGCTCCTTTTGGAGTGTGACTGTAGCGACTCTGAGTTGATTGCTTATTTTTAAGAGTCAAAACTTTTGCGTTTACTTTCAGCTGGATTTTTTCATCCACTTAGACACTGAATGAAAAGTTGTTTTCAAAATTCCATAAAAGAGGCACTTTAGAAACAAACCAAATGCAAATTAATCAGTCAGCACCACTGCTAAATATTTTCTCCCTAAAACACCCCTAGTTTTTGTCACAAATATTTAATACAGTTTTATAATAATACAGTTTTTCTATTTATGTTGATTTTTGGTGTAACAGGGTTTGTGTAAAGCAGAGATGCCCAAAGTAGGGCCCATGGGCCAAAGGTGGTCCATTGTAACCTTCGATTTAGCCCAACATCCCATCTGAGAGGAGAGTGTGAATGATAGAGAGGGTTGGGTGAATGCCATTTACACAGAGATGGTCATTTCTAATTTGATGTAACTGAAATTAAATGTTGTAAATATATCTGATTTTTTAAGATACTGTCACTCGATGAATAGAAGACTATACAGAAGGCATTGTTAAGCAAATCAAGCCAAAAATTAGGGTAATTCTGTTATAAATTAGATTGGTTAGTTTTTACTGAAATAAGTTCACTATAAAATGTAAAAAAAATACTATATTAGTTAATATAAAGCTGTGTTTCCTAGCCATTGTTAAACATTATTAAATAAATGAGGAAATTACCCATGGCAACTATATTTACCTTTGACACACTTTAGCGTGAATCAAGTTTGGTTTTTGGCCCTTCATAAGAAAAAGTTTGGACACCCCTGGTGTAAAGTAAGAAACACATTTTAGCTGTTTGAAAACATAGTCAAGTTAAAGGTGAATGCTACCTATTAAAGGTACGTGACTGACCTCACAGTTCTGGGCCTAGTCTTTAACATTGAAAGTCAAACCAGAATTCAAACTGAGCCAGGATAAACCATTAACACTTTGAGACTGCAGGATTGTGTGAACAAAGGAAAAAGAGAAATACTTTCAACATTGTTTGTGAAGGATTAGTAGTAGTTCATAAAGAGAGGATAATACTGTTCATTGCTGTTTGAGTCTCAAGACAGGCGTGTTTTTCTTTCATTTCTGCCTTAAAGTTTTAAAATCCTGCACAAACATAAAGATTACATTAATTTGGATTGGAATGTGTAAAATGTGGTGAGATCTTGCCAGAGCATCATAAAGTTTGCTGAGAGCAAGTCAGCTTTTTATGACATCTTTTGCAGAGTTTGAGGATCTGTATGGTGGATTTTGGAGCAGAAGGTCGGTGTTTGAAGTCATAGTCACTCTAGATTCATCATGCTTCTCTAGCCACTCTTTTGCTTGGTGACCTCCTGCCACACCCCAGAGGTTTTCCCATTACCAAACACATGGTTATGCCTACCAAATAGTAGCAAAATGAGAATGTCTGTGAGATCAGCAGAGTTTATTTTTTAATTAGAGTAATCCTATATTGGGGAGCTGTACACTGACAGAAATAAAGGTGAGCCGTCACTGGGGTGGTACCTTCTCAAAAGATACAAATTTGTACCTAAAAGGTCCATATTAGTACCTCAAAGGTACATATTAGTACCTAACAAGTACAAAAGTGTTCTTTTTAAAATTTCTAAGTACTAATATATACTTTTGAGTTACAAATATGGACCCTTAAGTACAAATATGTACCTTTTGAAAAGGTACCACCCCAGTGACAGCTCTTGTACCTTTATTTCTGCGAGTGTAGCACAGACTCTGTACATCAAATAGT